TGAACACCAAATACCAGAACACGAGTCGACTGTCGTCTTTGTAGGAGTTGTCACAAAACGACTCAATGAACCCCCGGTTGTATAGGATGTGCACGAACTCTGGCAAACACCTAATGGTGCCCACGATAGAGAACACGGCCAATGAGGCCGACCACACGGCCAGTGCTTTGCGCAGGTTATAGGCCGGCCTCGTCTTCATGTATTGGGCGCCGAGGAATATGACGACCATATATACAATCGACACATAGATCGTGAAGTGCCAGATCTCGTTGATCCATATCCTCTGTTGTCGCCAATCGCACGGGTAGTCAGGGATTTAAATATGTATATCATTTAGTTATTGGATTCACAATATTTGCATATTTTTATACAGTACTCAAGTATTCTAAAAAGGGTTTCATTTCAATCAGATTATTAAAGACAAATTACGAGCTTTTAAATGATTGGTTACAGAATTAATTAATATTTTTGGCATTACCAATTATTATATGCGATCTATTGCAATTTTTGGTATCGACTACAGTATAACCTATATTTTGGTAAGTGATAAGTGATAATCTTATGATATAAACATCTTAATTCTGGTAATAATCAAACTCTTTCAACAGACTTTTCAATATTTATAATAGCATAGCTTAATATTTAAAACAGATACACTAAACAATTAGTATTAAATAAATTATAAATTAATTAGATTAATTTAAATTAGGATCTCTTAAATCATTTCTAACATAAACCCGCTTACAGTTACTGTGAACGCATATAAACGCTAAACACATACTGCATATTAAAAGGGGTTTTAAAGCGAAATAAATATAATAATTAAATGATTGAAAAACATGATTAACTTAAATGTGTTTTTCATGTCATGTTGTTTTAACAAATATATGACACTTAATGAAATATAATTACGTGAGTCTCTCCAATAAGGTTGGCTTCAATATTGAGCGCAAACGGAAGTCCCGGATAGTTATGCCAAACATCCGACTCGTTCAGTGAGAGCTCGTTAGCCCAACGGCTCAACACCGACGGCGCGATTTGCGGAGTATTCTCGACAAACTTTTTCATTAAAATCTCGTCAAAACTTATGGATGAAGACATCACTTCACTTATTATTATTATTAATATTATTATATGTATATAATTATTATTTATTAATAATCAGAGAATTCACTATAAAGAGGGACAAACAAAAAGGCATATATTAATACAGTTAATACATTCAATTTTCACATTTAATTATGATTAACTCATTTTACTTGTATATCATATTTAGAGTAAAAATAATATTCAATGCAAAAACATTTAGTTAAATTAATAAAATATTGCAATTAAAATATAAAGAAAATATACAAATTAAATATTAAAAACTAACTTTATAAATACAACAAGAAATTCCGAAATAAAAGCAAATTTTTGGTTAAAAAATATAATTTTTTGTCTATATTTTACAGCACTTGTCTGTACTCTATATCTATGATATTAGTAATGGTTTGGCATATAATGTAAAGTACATTAAGAAAACAATTTCGAGAGTGAGATCAGGAAATACACCAAAAAGTTGAGCTCTCTCTCTCTCTCTC